ATGTATGTTATGTATCAAGTCTACAAAACTAATTTTGATTTCAAATCTGAGCTTTTAGATCAAAAACTTTTTTAAATCATAAGAAACAATGTCACTGAAGTGTAACTTGAATAACTCTTGTCATTAATGTAGTACAGAAGGCTGGCTGGTGATTGATAGACTGTAGCCCCGCCCACATACTTAAACATTCCTGGGCTTGTTATCAGTCATATGACTTCTCACCTGTTTTTCATGCATAGTCGTTATGATGAAATGATGGTGAACTGGGGCAAAGGCTTTCAGTGTCCTTACAGACAAGGTCAAAAAACAAGTTCGTCCAGAGACTTTCTCATTCAGACAGTCCTGTTTATATAAAGCAAAATGCACCTGCAGCTCTATTACAGTTTTTTTCGATTGCTAAATGACAGTGGGCACAACTGGAGCTACATGTGCAAAACTCTAACTACAGTCTGCACAGCAGCAGTTCATGTGGACCAAACTCTAGTTCGTTTTTCATTGCTTGAACACAGTTTTCAAAACTCTACACACTTATCCCATGACTTTACCCACAACCTGCACAACACTGTGGATTTACAGCACTTTGTTCAAATGCTAACACACTGCTGTCAAAACTGTGAACCACACATTCAAAACAGAATAGATTTCAGCCTTGTGCCTTTCAAACACTGCTGATTGCAATTTCAGCTGAAAGGCTAAGCAGGTGTCTTGTTTTAGACTTGTTAGTGAACACACACACACATATATATATATATATACACCACTCTGCAGCTGTCACAGATTGGTTTGCAGCACATCACAGATTTATGGTTTTGTACCTGCCTGCATATTCACCCTTCCTCAACCCAATAGAGGAGTTTTTCTCTGCCTGGAGGTGGAAAGTGTTTGATCACCACCCACATGACCAAATGTCTCTTTTGGAAGCCATGCGTGCCGGATGTGAGGACACGAGTCCAGAGGACTGCCAGGGATGGATAAGGCACTCCAGAAGGTTCTTCCCCAGGTGCATGGCAAGAGAGAACATTAGATGTGATGTTGATGAAAACCTGTGGCCTGATGCTAGAGAGAGGCAGGATTAGCCCCTCAATTATTTGTTCGAATTACAGTATGTACTTTTAGTTTCTACCTTTTTTTTCTCATTACTGTAATTCCGTAAATTACTACAGACTATTGAAGCAAACTGCTAATTTTCATTTACCTTAAAGAATTATGTTCTACAAATTTAAATAAATCATGTGAAAGAATGTCACTCTTTTCTTTGAAGAAAATAGGACTTTGTATGAAGTCACTGAAATTGTTCAAACTGTAAAGATGAAAAGTTTGTATTTTCTGTATTGGTGTTTGATGCTAGTGTTTTTACTCTCAGTGTGTTCTGAGTGACAGTGTGTGTTATCTCAGTGAGGGTTGTGCATAGTGTTTGGCTGCACTGAGCCTGTTTTGAGCCATGTGTTAAGAGTTGTGTTGCTTGGAATGAGTTTTGCAGGTGATGTGAACTGTTTAGCTCAGGTGACTGTTGGTAGTGCAGACTGTAGTTAGAGTTTTGCACATGTAGCTCCAGTTGTGCCCACTGTCATTTAGCAATCGAAAAAAACTGTAAAACAGCATATATTTGGCAATATCCTATGTATCACTTGCGCTTAGTAACCAAACCATTTAAACAATGAAAAAGCACCTGGATGTTCTGTTCGATGAGCTCAGGTTTCTTCATTTGCTTCATGTTATTATTTGTAATATCATATTACTGTCCAGTCAGATGATCATTTCTGAAGAACATGCTTTCCTAAGTAGAGAAACCTGCTTTCATGGGTTTTTGATGACCAGAGGAAACTGGAGAGAGATTCAGTGTAAACCTCTTCTGTGTATTAAAACGGCAATGGCAAAAGAACAATGTAAAACATATTTGCATGTCAGAAATATGCAGTTTTGTCATTATGTCAATGGCTGGTGAAGAGTTTCTAGAAGCTTCATTGGGGTGAAATATGTAATGATACAATTACTCCCCCTGGTGTACACATGAAGGTACTGCAATACATGTACATTTATTCTCTTTATACAAGTAGATGTATATGTTTATTACTACTAAGCTCATATATTTGTGTCAACAATCCAAAAACATTTTAGCAGCTAGAATTACAAATATATTCACGATTTACTTTTATATATTCATATTAAATATTATTTTATATATATATTTATATCTATATTTTCTGATTTATGTATTCAGACTTATAACTATATATCCAGATTTACTTCTATACATGTAATCATGATTTTACATTAATATATTCAGTTTTGTATCTATATATTCAGATTTATATCTATATATTCAAATTTACATTTATATATTCATAATTATATATTCTGTTTTACTTCTACATATTCACAACTTACATTTTTATATTAAGATTTGCATCTATATATTTAGACTTACAACTATTCTGATTTACATTTCATATATTCTGGTGTACTTCTCTATATTCAGATTTTATAAAATTATTTTAACAGTGCTATTTTCACATTATATTTGACATTACTGGTAAGGGAAAGTGAACCAGTGTTATTGTAGTATCATTGACATACTATTATAGTTTTTGTTAATATTTTAAATTGTATTTGTTTTTTATTTTCTGGTTTCACTTTAATTTTAGTTAAAGTTTTAATTTTGTTTTGTGTTTTTGTCATGTTTAGTTTTTAAATATGCCTATATAGTTTTTTTTAATTCATTTTATATATTACTTTATCTAGTTTTAGTTATTTTAGTACTTCAAGTTACACTAAACGAAAAACTATACAACTACAGCTAAAATAAAATCTTTAAAAAAAATTTTTTTTCCCAGTTAACATTTATTTTATATCAGATAATGAACATGTGTTTTTATGGTTTAGTTAACTGTAATGACTCTGAATAATACAACAAAAGTGTCACAGTTTGTTTGTGTTGCTCCAGATGTGTCCGTCTGATGAACCTCACCCCTGGAAAGCTCTGCTGTGTGTGTGTGTGTGTGTGTGTGAATGAATGTGTGTGTGAGTGTGTGTGAGGGGCTGTGATTTAGAGTGAGTGTTATTAAGATATTGGCTGAGCATCATGCCAGAAAAACAAATATAATTTCTACATGAAAAAGTTAGTTCAGGCAATAATAATAAAAAAAAAAAAGTAAACTCTTTATTAATACTCAATTCAAGCTTGTAGAAATTAAAGCATAAATATCAATGTTACTACTCAACTTTTCTGATACTGGTGTTCCCATCATGCACTGGGGTATGAATAATTAATATTAATATAAATATAATATTTAATTCATATTAATATAATTTTTTTTTGCTGTTTTCCAGCTGCATTTACACTGTTTATCATTGCTTTTGTTGTTAGGTTTAGTAACTTGCGATTTTGTTACATCTGGAGTTCATTTTCAACTCAAAATGACAACATTCATACTCAAAAATGAATCACAGAATGTTACTGTCATTGTGTATCGTGTTCAAAGTACTGGAGTCACATGAATAATTTTGTAGATATGGTGTCTACATGATATCTATTGTATTATTTAGATGTTTCTGAGTAAAACATACACTTTAAAAGCATGGCTTAATTAGGTGCTATATTGAGTAAAATCAAAGTATTGCCAAGTAAGCTTTGACTATAAAAATTACTGGACACGCTTATTTTCTTTGTTAAATTTGCTTAACTCAGGCAAGTAAATTTGACTTAATTCTATATGTGACATTGAATATAATTATGTAATATTTACTTAATTTCTTTATGAATGTTAAGTTCAATAGTAAGTAGATTGTACAGAGTAGTAGCAGTAAAATTTACTTAAAATGTGTTAGTGCAAATTGTTACTAAGATTTTATCAAGTAAATCCTACAAGTTATTTTTTTCAGAGCATGAGGAAAACGGCTTATCATACAGAATAAAGTTTTTTTTTTTATGTAAAATTGCCAGTAGTTTTGTGTGAGGGGTAGGTTTAGTGTAAGGGGATAGAAAATACAGTTTGTACAGTAGAAAAACCATTACACCTACGGAGAGTCCCCTTAAACTACATATGCAAGACTGTGTGTGTGTGTGTGAGAGAGAGAGAGAGAGAGAGAGAGAGAGGGTGTGAGAGAGAGAGAGAGAGAGAGAGAGAGAGAGAGAGAGAGAGAGAGAGAGAGAGAGAGAGAGAGAGAGAGAGAGTGTGTGTGCAGATGCTCTTTTGGCTGGACGAGACTGAAGGTGTGTTTAAACTGAGCTGCATAAAACAGGCCGTATGTGTGTGTGAAGCTCTTCTGACCATCAGAGACACCGACAGCATCAACATGGTGAGTCCAATATTTTCATTCATTTAGGGCAAAATTATGATGCAGAAATGTGTTATATAGTTATATTAGCATTTGAATCACAAGTGCTCGATCTGCACATATTGGCTGTTTTTTGTTTAAAGTTTAGTCTAAGTTCTATTTCAGTCTAGAATAAATGTGTTTCTCTTTAGACTACCTACACTGACAAAGGAGAGAAGGTAATATGACTTTATGATTTGAAAGTATAAAAAAAGAAATAAAAAAGACAATTATCTCATGTCGATATAAAAATCGATTATGTTTCATTTTTTTCATTTTATGCAGCCAGAGAGAGGGAAATTTTTGCGTTTTCACCATGTGAAATTCTGGGTGGGAAACGTGGGAAACGCGAGTTTATTGAGTTAAAGCTGTTTAAAAACAGCAGTGTGACTGGATTATGTTGGTTTACAGTGCTTTGAAATTAAAACATGATCATTTTGCACTTAATTACACAATTACATTTTCAGGAATGATAGTTTTGTATTGGAAACCTTAGTAAAGATGGTTAGATGCACATGTTTAAATGACAGTCTCTGATAAGATATTGGCACTGAATATAAACTTAGTGGCACAATTTAAATGTACTAAAGTAGTATTATAGGCCACTAATATTGCATGTAGGTTCAGAGAAGTTCAGAGAAGCTTCCAGAGATACTGAAATATTGCAGATGACGAAGGTTTCTCTGAAGATGAAATCAATAATGTGATCTTAATCTAACAGTGATGCAATAGTTCATCTCGTCTGATCTCGATAGTCTCAGAGAAACAGGTTTACATATTAACACAGTCAATATTGTGTGCTCATTTTGTACCGCTAATAGTATATTTGGTCTTTTTAGATTTAGGGTTGAAAAATCTGGTGTAGAAACAATTTGCTCTCAGAAAATGTGAATACATTTCACAAATAATTACAAAGAAATGGCAAATAATTAAGTAAACACTAAATTTTGAAGCAGAAAGATTGGAAAGAACTAGTATTGTCTTGTAAAACAAGCTCCAGTCCCATACGGCGAAATATATATATATTTTCAAATATATATTTTGAATATATTTCAAAATATACAAAAATAGCCAAAAATTTCAACTATTTTTAGTATATGTTTGAAAATATATTTCAGCCTATAAATATATTTTCACAAGCATTTAAAAAATATTTTGCCTTCCATAAATTGCAATTCAAGAAAATACATTCACATCAGGGATATTATAATTAACTAAAACTAAAATCATACAAAAACATTTTTGTTCCTTGAAATAAAATAAATATTAACTGAAATAAAATATTTAAAAAATTCAACTTATTTTATTTCAGCTAGTTTCCAAGGCAACAATTCTCATTTTCATGTTGTTTAACTTGATGTATTAAAATAACTGAAACTAAAACTGAAATAAAAATAATTAGACATATTAAAAAACAAAAAGTAATAAAAATGAAAAAAAAAAAAAAACTAAAACTTTAACTAAAATTAACATGAAAGTAGAACATATATATAAAAATATCTAATTCAAAATATTAACAAAAACTATAGAATGTCAGTGTTACTAAACTAACATTGAATATGCCACCTTTGAAGCAAAAACTGTTGTCTATAACACGTGAACATATAACACATAACTGTAGGCTACTGTAATATTGGGAATGTATTTTCTTGCCACCATTTTGGTATATGAAGGTTGAAACATAAACATAATAAATATAAAAACAATAAATATATATTCAATTTTACTGTTTACAACATATATTAAAAAAAAATATTTTGGTC